GCACAGGGATGTGGGAAGGTTCAACCACCAACGTCCACCTCTGATGTGGTGGGCCAACATTGCAATACAGGAGGCGCTGCTTTCAGAGCAGCCCTCATAAGTAGCCATAGAAATACGTTCCAAATGCCGAACCAAGATCCTGAATGCTCCTGCTCTACCTGTTCTCTGTGCTCTCTACTCCTCTGTCACACTGCTCAAGGGCTCTAATGAGCCAGATTTAATCTTAATGGATACTAAAGACTGATACCAGCAAATTTAAAATCTGAAGTGGATATGGCTTAGACTTGAAGAAAAGATGGGAAAGGGGAGAGAAGATCATCATTCCGCATCCAGAGATCATCAGTATCACACAGTCCTCTGACTTAAATATCCACCTGTAGATGCATCTAACAGCCTTCCCAATTTAATTCGGCAAATACTGCACAAATCTAGTCCAGAAGGATGAGGCTTTTCCTTCCCTCATGGCACAGACACTTTCTTATCACTGGCAGAAAGAAGTGCTTTTTCTCCAGGGACAGAATTTAGGAACTCCTGACTCGGAAGCTGCCTGCTAGGGAGAACTTCAATCGATGTCCGGGCCAAAAGTCTTATCATCTTCAATCAGAGGGCCATTCTGATATCTCTTATATACACGTATATGGTGTAATAAAGACAGCTACCCCAGGCAGATAACAAGAATAATTAGATTTGGGCATAGCAGTGATAATGAGAAAAGGAAATGCTCTAAAATATATTAAATCTACCGAAAAATGAAGCAGCAAAGTGGCAGCAGAATACTGAAAGGTCACTTTGTGATTAGCGTGGAAGAAGTTCATTAAAATCTACAAAGAAGTGGGGCTGTGGTTCATCACTTTGGAAGCTCCGCTGCTGGAAATGGGGTGAGCCACAGGGGGGCAGGGAGCATTAGCACTGCTTGTTTGTGGCTGCTTTGACTGGCTACAATGCTTCTGGGGCTCGGAATCAAAAACAAGACAAATGAACAAGGCTCTCTTAGACCATCCCTGCCTAGAGAAAGGAAAACCAACCCAGCAATTTGCTGGTCTGGAGGCAAACAGCTCAGCGGAACTGCAAGCACAAAACACTTCTGTTTTGAAATCTCAGCCTTTCTTCTCATTTTCCGCTGTGCTTCCATTCTCCCTGCAGTGATCGAACTTTTGGGAGCTTGTTACAGTCGCCTCAACATCTCCCATTTATCCATTATCCTGATGCCATCGTTGCTTCAAAACGGCCCAAACTCTTCCTCTGCAGCCCTCAGCTGCTCCTCTTCACAGCACCGCACCTTCCCAAGACCAGCAGCGTCCTCTGGGCTGACATGGGAACCTGCCCACACGCACAGCTCACACTGAGTGGAAGGACAAAGAAGAAGCTTTCTGAGGAGCACAGCAGCAGAAGGGAACACCGCACCAACTGCATTTTGGAGAAGAAAGATGTTCTGCAGATTGTTTCTGCTGCACTTTTGTTTTTATGAACATCACGCGCACGCAGAGCCACAGATGTTCATCATTTCTATATTATTGTAAAATGAACATAATAATAATGATTATAAGAACGGATGCCCGTTCAAATTTTAATTGCAAAAAAACCATCCTTTATCTTTCATTTAAACTGTTTTTTTTTTCCCTCACACCCCAACACTGCTGTTTGTTGTGTGGTTACACTGTGCCTTTCCCCAGCCACGGCGCAGGGCTACACTCGGAGCGAGACACAACTGGAACTCACCAACACAAGCCCTGCTACGTGCAGTGCTGCAGTGTGCTCACAGCTTCTGGGCCGGGCTGATGTTTTAACAGCCCACGAGCAGGAGGACGCACCATTAAGGCCTTTTTTGTGGGAGCAGTTCAAAGTACAATAACTGGAATATGCTGCTCTGCTGCAGTGGCTGTTCCAGAAGCACGCACGCCCTGCCTGTTTCCCTGAAGCTGCAGCTTCGTTGAAGTTGGCCGTGGAGCTTGTTGCAAACACACAGGTTTCTGTGCTGTGATTACTATTTAAGTTTGCACTTCCTCTGGCTCACTGTCTACTGCAATTATGCAAATAAGATGCAACTTTATCCCTTCAGCATAATTACATCAAACACAATCGGGCTATATTAAGACTGACTTAAGAGGAACAAATTCAGTTCATGTAATGATTTCCTAAATCACCCCATGGGGCTGTGGCAAAGAAAAAGCTGTCCCAAGGGTGACATCAAGCATCTAGACAAATAACCACACTTCTGGGGCCTGACACTACGTGCTTCACATCTGTGTTCTGCATCCAAGAACCACGGCTGGAGGAGTGGCAGTAAAAAATGTCTTTTTCTGTAAACTAACCATTGCAGCTTATGACTTCTGTGACCAACAGCTCTTGAAATGTCAAAAATCTGATAATCCAAAGCTCCCACGTATGCTTTAACAGGATGGCACATTAATTTTCAATGCAATTTAACTTTTCCTGGCCTGTAGGACTTACTTTTTTTCCTAAAGTGTGAGAAGAGGTTGGCAGCATCACTTATTTAATGTCAACGTGATATCTTCTAGACGGGGGAAGCTGCACCGCTGTTTGCTTCCAATGAAGTTGGCTGGGAATCCTTTTCTAACATACTACAAGAGCAAATGCTCTTAAGCAAAACCAGGGCAGCCCCCTTACTCACTCCTACCAGAGAAGCACTCACTGAGCCCAGCAGAAGGCAGCTGGTGCCTCGTGGTGCCTGCAGCCCGCGAGCCGCACCGTCGGCAGCAGCACTGCAGGGAAAGGAGCCTGCCAGGCTGGGCACTGCTCAAGAAATCCTCCTTTAGGGCAAATTGAGTTCTGTTCTGCTAATTTAGTTTGTTTCCATCAATTTATAGGGAAAGTCAGGGCTTCTTATTTCATTTATTTTATGTATTCTCCCACAGAAGTACATTACTAAATTCTAGTAGCAGATGTTCATTGCTGGATGATAAAAGAACAATGTTAAAATGTCTGTTTCCAGTTCTCCTGGATTCAATGCCAAATGAAATTACTACAGAAAGAAAAACAAAACCACATACAGCAGTCTGAATGCAAGAAAGGAAGATAATCCATACGGGTAACAGCCTCACTAAGCAAAGAAATGCTAACACCTGAGGAATCCTTGCTTCCTGTAAATAACTGATTTCAGTGGATGCTTCTCATGGGGAACGAAACAGAAATGGAATTGGTTTGAAAGGAGAAACGTTGAATTCTGGAAAACTGCTTCACACCAAGAGGAGCACTCAGCAGGGCAGGCATGAGGGTTGTGTTGGAGAAGGAAAGTATGAGAATGACTGCACAGGAGAAGGGAAATGCGCTCTGCACTCATAAGCATCCCTTTGCTCTTCCCCCTAACAGGGCTAAGCAGATGGCAAATACAGATGGTAATTAGGGATGGATGAACGAAACTGAAAAAGGTAAGAACCAGCCTGAACCTTTCTAGTGGTCACAGAGCGTGCAGGAATCATTTGCTATTGACATTGGAACTGCAGCTCTAGGACATGGTGCTCTGCCTCTCTCTTCACACCCAGCGTGGCACCAAGCTTCGGCTGCTGGCTTTCTGGAAAACAGCACTCAAAATATGTACCTGCCTGCATGGCAGAAACTGTGGAAGAACGCATGCAATTATATATATAGGCAAAATGTAATTCAAGCCTCACAAACCTTACAAACAGTAATCGTGCAGTCTGTGTGAATGCAAGTGCAGAATGCAACGAGGCAGTTTTTAGGCAAAAGCCCAGTATAACTGGGGAATAAGCTGTGTACAGGCTCAATGCTCTCACATCCTCCAAGTCACTACATGTGCTGATATCTGTAACTGTTGCTTAGCCAACTTTCCGTACCTGCATCCCTTCAGTCTGCCATTGTAACTCATTATTGCCAAAAGAAAACTCCATTATGTCCAAAGTGTTTAACGTGTAACGCAGAAGGAAAATGTTTTAAAACAAACACATTTGGAAAGTTTTTCTTTCTGTGTGCTGTTGGCAGACTTTGAGATTTTCTGTCAGAAACCCTCAGGGATGAATGCAAACAGTAGGGAAAGATTATTAAAATGCTGTGTTTTTCAGAAACAAACCACTTCATTCTCTACCAACTTTACGTGTTTATGGAGAAATAACATGTAAAAATGCCTCTGAGGTTCAAAAATTTAATATGAGGGACCTGAGAAGAATAAATAATGAGGTGGTAGCGTATACACAGCTAAAATGAATGCACACGTTTGCTTTCCCTGTGAGGGAAGACACCAAAGCCTATTTTTGTGTGCACAACACATGCAGGGACTCTCACGCCATGCACAACAGAGGAGTTCATTCTCTTTACTTTGTGTCTATGAAGAGTTTTCCTTTTCATGTCAAGGAGAACATGGACTCTAATCGCATGCTTGGTTTGCCCAGAGGAAACTGTTCAGATAGTTAAGCATCTCCACAGAGGGGACAGCAAATTAAGGACAGATCTGAGACAGACTTCAGGGCGAAGAGAAATGCTGAGAAAGGAGGAATTCTGTAACAGAAGTGCCTCATAATCTTTATACAGATGCACGCACATCTACAAATACATATATTGGTAGAGTACACAAAAAATATAAATACATATAGCTTATGATCTGAATAAAATACAAGTTAAAGGGAAACTGCTGACTTGAACCTGAATTTTCACTTCCTCAGTATGGAGTTTAACTGCTGTTTCTGAGGGGTATGTAACTGCAATGCATTTTCTCTTCCTACATACATACATGACACATTAAGATCATTTTGGTTCACTGCCTTTGAGGTGACATAGGTAACTGCTGGTAGCTTTTCAGATACAGCATATAGTTCTCAGATGAGGAACACAGACATTCAGGAAAATTCCAGGGGATAAAGACCAGCTCAGTGTATTTTACACCCTTCCAATACAACCACATCCAGGTACAGCCATCCAAAAAAAAACACACACAAAGAACAAATACAATCCATTTTGTGCCACTTGTTTTCAGGAAACAAGAAACAAGGCAAGAAGATATGAGAGAAGGTGGGCAGAGCTCTTACCCTCGATGGTCGCTCGCTTGGGCAGGATGGTGATGGCCCCTTCAGCCACGTCCTCCTGCTGCAGCAATGGGCTCACCTTGGAGCCCCACGTGTCCGAGCCCACCCATAGGAAGTGCCCCACTTGGTCAGCCCTCTTGGCAGCTGCCAGGATTTGCCTGTGGAAGAGGACAGTTTGTTCACGAGTTAGTTTCATTTCAACATACGATTGCTTGGTAAAAAACGGTGCGTGGCAATTGCAGAACGAATGTATTTCTGTAACCAGCAGAACCCAGAAATTTCAACAGCACATCATGCCACGATCTGAGCAGCAAAGATCGAACCTTCCTTTTTAATTCACCCTCTATCCTAAGAATGAAATCCCACTGACTTCACTGAAACTTTATCCCAACTTCTTGTGTCTCACTTTGGAGAACTGAGCCTCTCAGTACCTCCCAGCACCATCAAAATGTCTGGTTAATTTAAAATTCTTAAGTTAGAAATAAGCCATACTTTTAAAATATTCTGCACATAATTTTAATGGCAAGTGGTATCTGAATGACATGAGCATCCAAGCCACTTTATCATCAGTAACCATCACCTGTCATAAAATACACTCTGAATCGAGGAATTACTCACTGTAGTATGAGCTTGGAGGGAGGAGCATTTTCTTAATGTCTCTGAGGTAAGGTCAGGTCTGCCATCAAACACATGAGTAATTCTACAATATTAAAAACCTTCAGACCTTCACCCAGGGCTGGATGGGGCCCTGGGCAGCCTGGTCTAGTATTAGACGTGGAGGTTGGCAGCCCTGCCTGTGGTGGGGGATTGGAGCTTCATGATCCTCAAGGTCCCTTCCAACCCAAGCCATTCTATGATTCACCCTATGATTCACCCCTTGCAGCCTGTTGCTCCCTTCTCCCCACAGCACGATCCGAGGTGCCAAAAGGGCCAGGCAGCAGCAGGAGCCCAGTGCGACCCTGCAAATGGCAAACCCATAACCCCACACAGCTCCTACCAACAGGCATTCCCTCTTTGTTATCTGTGTTCTTACTTGCTTTCTTTTTTCTGCATGGCTACCAAGCACAAATGAATTAGTCCCCTCAGCCATCCTTACTTTATGTCCTCGTCGTTGGCAAAAATAACGATGGCCCTGGCATTGGGAGTTTCTAAGAGCTGCTTGATGATTTTATCAAAGTCAATGGTCTTGTCCTTGCGATCCTGTGGGATTTTCAGGGACTGAGCGATGCAGAGCCCACCTGTGGAAGAAAGAAGGGCTCAGTCAGCAGGGAGCATGGGAAAGGGGTTGGGGGATACACGTAGACTGAAGGGGCAGCCTGGATGGAAAACACCTCGATCCAAACACCCTTGCAGACACTTAAGCCTCCCTCCAGGCATCCTGAGGTGTACAGTTTGTTGTTGTCAAGGTGGGACACAGCTTCATTCATAGACCCATACACACAATGCACGCCAGAGCACGGCCGTACATTGAGCAGGTGCAAACACCATCATGGAGTGACAAACAAATAAACCAGACAATTGGGTGTGAAAACAACAAAAACAGCACAAACCATGGAAAAGCTTAGACTGACTCAGAAAAACAAACACAACAGGCTGAAATGCAAATGATGCTGACAAGGAATTACAGTTTATCTTGGTGAAGAGCAGGGATCTGTTTTGATTTTGAGTTGAAAGATGTTGGGAGAAAAAGCTTCCACTGAAACAGCTTATTTGAAACAGGAACAACAAAAGAGTTGAAATGTTGGCAAAGGGAAGATTGGTCATGAAAATCTGTACTCATTGAAACGTCCATCACCAAACAGAAGGGAGCTGCCTTGAGGTACAGCACGTCTGTGAGCTGGGCATCTCATAAACACACAGGTAGTGTTGAAAAAAATGAGTATCAATCAATAACAGCAATAAATACATCCATAGCAAAGGAACGCTCAGGTTTAACACATTTCACACATTATTATGCTCGGTTGGGGAAAAAAAAAAAAAAAAGACAATTAAAAAAAGAAAAATCACATCTCCCTTGACATTGCGCTTGTCGATCGAGGCAGATGAAGTCACACTTTTGCCTTTATTATTTTGTTTCTCAGCAATAAACTCTTTCATCTTCTCTGGCATCTTAGATAACAACTTCCTCAGTATACTGCACAGTGCGTTAATTAATAGTTTTAGAGGTGCACAGTAAGAACCTGAAGTAGGGATGAATTAATTAAAAGCCAGCAAGATAAAGGAGCTATTTACTGGTATGCTGTAAGTTGCAGATTTGAAAGAACAGTCAAATGAAGAAATAGAGAGGGTGTTCTATAGGACAGCGTGCAAGAGGAGGAGTGCCCACATAGGAAAACAAGCACAAAATCACAAGCTGCTACAAAGGGCCAAGATTTAACACACAAAAATGACTTTGCTCCCATGATGGCGTCCCTCCCAGAGGCTCCCACTTTGACACAGCAGAGCAGGAGAGGACGTCTTTGGCAGCACTGAGACCAAGGGTTTGGCATCCTGGGTGGGTTTGCTACTCGGACATTTCTGAAGGTGCCGTGCAGATCCCTGGCCATTCCTCACAGCTCCCCATTACTTTCATTCAGAGAAAGTGAGCTCTCAGCAGGATCAGACACAGCTCCCAACAAGAGGCACTTGCAGAGAGATGTGGAACAAGGTTCCCTTCATCTGCTGATCTCAAATATCCAAGTACCAATCGGAACTTCTAAGGCCAGGATGGAAGAATGCCTGCAGTTGCTTTTGCCCAGGTATGGCACTGCACCCACGGGGCAGCAGTGAGCAGTGATACAGGAGCAGCAGCAGTGGGGCAGAGAGCTGAAACCACAGCAGAACCCATCAGAGAGGAGCAGTGTTCTATGCCTTCGTTATAGAATCTTTGCATTTGAGGGATAAAGTAAAAACCAAAACCTGTATCCAGGTGATACATCCTGGTTATAAAACTATTACAAAAACACAGTATCTAATACTAAGTAATTGACATCTACATGATTTAGGTGCATGAAATGAAGGGTTGGAACCGTTGGCAAGGCTGCTGGCTCAGCAACCCCTCCTGACAATAATTACACCGCTTGTGTGGGTCATGCAATCTCTGCTGCCTGGATAGAGGAGCCAAAAATCTGATTATGGTCAATAATGATTACAGCTGAACCGAGCATCTCTGGACAGCTGTGGCCAGACTCTCAATAGCGAGGAAAATAAGCCTCCAACACAACACACGAAGTATGTAATTCTTGTGTGTGTGGAACTAGGGTGGAGAAAGTCTGGAAACTAGGAGGGGTGGTTTTGGGTCTTTTTTATGCCACAGAGTTTATGCTACCTGGGGAAAGTCAGCTCTTGGTTTCCCTGCTGCCTGCCACAGGTCAGCAGGAATGATGAATAAATGGTAAACGTTGCAGAATCATCATAGGATTATAGAATGGCTTGGGTTGGAAGGAACCCCAAGGATCATCAAGTTCCAACCCCACTGCCACTGGTAGGGCCAGCAACCTCCAGATCTGGCACAGGGGCCCAGGGCCCCATTCAACCTGCCCTTGAACACCTCCAGGGATGGATGGGGCATCCACAGCCTCTCTAGGTAGCTGTTCCAGCACCTCACCACTCTTCTCTGTAAAGAACTTTCCCCTGGCATCCAATCTAAACCTTCCATCCTTGAGCTTAAGTCAGTGATCAAACCCAAAATACACTGTCTTACAGTACAGTAGCACTGCTAATGTTTAACAAGCACAGCTGCCACGGGAACCCGAAGGGGGGAATTGCACAAGAACCAGGAGACAGCATTAACCAGGCATCTACAGAGCAACATCAGGAGCAAACAGGGCTAAAGCAACACAAGGCCTTCCATGGGCAAATATAAAAGGCAGAAAGTGAGAGGGAAGAGGAACAAGGCTCGGGTGATACAAGGCAGATATGTTGATAGATATCCTGATTTTAAATTGCCAGCATCTCTTCCAGGAATGTGATGCTATTCCAGATTAGCTAATACGTGCTCCAAGTTGGGTCAAGATGTATTATTGTCTTTATTTGCTTTGCTTTGCTCAGGCCTATGCTGGGCAGCTCTGACACCCAACTACAATCTTGTCTCTTTGGGACCTCATGGCAGGCAGGGGCACACGCCACTTCTCTCTCCTCAGCAGCAAAGGATGCTCAAGGAGTGTGCTATTGCAATAGGTAACACGCGTGCATAGTTATTTCAGCTGTTAATTCACAGTGCTCCTGAAGTAAAACCTCTGAGGGAATTAAAGCAGTAGTAGCATGGAAGTTGCAAATTAAGGATTTCTACATTAAAATATGACTCCTGCAGGACTGGTGAGCAGGCACATGGTGTTACCAGCTGCAGAGTGCTGTGGCAACTGCTGGAAGCCACGAGGCTCCAGGTGCCCCAGCCTCCCCTGTGCTGCACCATGAGCTGTTGGCGTGCAGCGCTGCAGGGACTGCCGTTCTGCATCCCAATGCAGGCTCCACCTCTAAGGTGAAGGGTGCTAGACAGGCATAAAGCAGATCTGAACTACAGCTTAGATGAAACAGTGCTCAGCAGACAACACGCTTGCTTGTCTTGCTCCCCCAACACACAGCACACACAGCCCATGCAGCTGGTGCCTCCATTTATCCATTCACAATGGAAAAATGTAAAAAACAGCGTAATTGAACCAGGGGAGAAAAATTCTCTTTTCTCCAGAAATTTCCAAGTTCCTGAAACTGATGGGTTTGAAGTTTTTATAACCAAATCCTTAAGATCTCTTCTGTACTGTTGCAGTTGGAGCACTTCTTTGGGGAAAATGAGAGCGCTAGAGGAAAAATGGAGGAATTAATTCCTTGAAAGACGGAATTTGAGGAATTCACAGGAAAGAGCACACAAAGAGCAGTCACAGCAGGGACTATGGCAGCCAGCTCTCTACCACTCTGCTCTTGGAACAATGTCTTTTCTCCTCGGGGCTATGTATAGAAGTCCAACATTGGCATCTCTTCCACCCTTCCCTGCTGCCAGCAAATGTTTCCTAATAACATGAATCTGGGAACAGAGCACCAGGAGCAGACCCAGCAGGTTCAGCCCTTCCAGATGTGCCTTTGTCCAGCAAGTAAGCCACAAAAACATGCAGTAATCCACAGAAGGGAGGAGACAACAAGGAAACATTTCCTCCAATAACAACTTGAAAATTATTTTGTTTCCTAGCTTCTAGTTTTCCCAGGGGTTTGTGCCACATTGGCAAACTGACCCAATGGTTTCAATCTATTCCAAGCATTAAAATCCCCCCTGCTGCAAGCCACTGGCAGCACTGAGAAAACAGAAATGCTAACATTTCAACTAAAATTAACAGTGCCTCCTGATTTTTTTTTTTTTTTTTTTTTGGCAAACAAACCAAACACACAGCACAGCCAGGCTGCTGAGGACCCAACACTTCACTCTCACATCAACCACCAGTGCTCAGTTAACACAAAAGGAAGGAAGGGAACCATCCTCCCAGAACATCCCAAGACTCAGGGAGGTGCTGGATTGGACCCTGAAGTCTTCTTTCATTCTTGCAGACGATCGTTATCAACTAAGAACAAAGTCTTGAAGCAAAGTGAAGGAAAGAGCTGCGATGGTGATCAGAGGTTTGGGTCTCTGGAGTAGAACAGCATGAGCAGGTTAACAGAAATAGGCTGGAGATGACCTGTTGTGCAAGAGCTGTGAAGCACACAGGGGCTCGGGAGAAGGAGCTGTAAAAAAATGTCAGGGCTGCCTTGGTTCACCCACTGATGGGTGATGTGCTCTGCCTGTGAGAGGAAAACCTCACGAGAGTTCTCTGTGCAAGTTCACGCAGTCGTGCATCAAATTGTTGGGGGCATTAAACACCCAGCTCTGGTATTTAAGGGTAATGGATGTATCTGGTAATCGAAGTGTCGCTCCAGTATCCATGGATACCCGTGATTAAGTGGTATTTTGATTCTGGTACAACACTAAGTACATTATTCTGCTTCCCTGAAATTTTCCAAGAGCTATTTTTCTTATCACCCCTTAATTGGATTACCAGGTAGCACAGGAGACAATTTAACACTTTTTCAGATGATTTCTCTGCAGAGATTCTCTTTTTGGGGAGCACACTTTCAGCAGCACCGAAAACATTGCTTCAGAAAGTTAGAGTGGCCATTTCTAATTAATAAAAGGAATTCTCAGTTCAACTGATGAGTTACTTCAGTATGAGCAGCTGCCAGAATCTGCTCCCTGGATGTTTATGGGAGGGGATGCTGTTGGGCTCATGCGATTTCC